CATGCGCCCCCGGCATGAGGGCAGGTGGGTGGGCCCCGAAGAGGGGCTTCCCTTTGTGAGCGAGTAGAGACCAGGGCCTGCCTCTCCCTCCCCTGCCTGGGCCTCCAGGTCCCTTTGTCCTGGCTTCATGTCCGGGCTCTACCACTCTCCAGAGCAGTGATGGCGAACCTATGACACGCGTTTCAGAGGTGACACACGAACTCATTTTTTTGGATGATTTTTCTTTGTTAAATGGCATTTAAATATATAAAATAAATATCAAAAATATAAGTCTTTGTTTTACTATGGTTGCAAATATCAAAAAATTTCTCTATGTGACACAGCACCAGAGTTAAGTTAGGGTTTTTCAAAATGCTGACACGCCAAGCTCAAAAGGTTCGCCATCACTGCTCTAGAAGATGGGTCTCAGCTTCTCCCCCTGTAAAATGGGGGCATGTCTTCCTCCTAGAATGGCTGTGAGGGTGGGACATGCCTGCTGCTACGCCATGGGCCTGTACAAGCTCCCTCACTGTTTCTCCCCTCTCCCCTCCTGCCCCCTCCTGCCAGGGTACGGGTGGGGCGTGGGCTGTCCGCTCCTGTATTGCAAGGGCCGGCTGTCCCAGGTTCAGAGCCATCAGTGTTTAGGGCCCTTGGTTGTCAGAGAGCCTTCGGCACCTTCTCCCCATTTGCACCCCGGAGGCAGGCAGAGCCCCCTTGTACAGAGGAGGGAAGTGAGGCTTACAGGGTTGGCTGACTTGACCTTGGAGTCACACAAGTGACTGGAAAGGCCAGGACGTAAGCCTAGGTCACCTGGCTCCACCTGACCTCCAGACCCAGGGTGACATATAAACCTTTGCCTCTGGGCAGGCTCCCGCCACTGCCCCTCTCTGTGGGCCGGCACCAACGGGGGTACCGTCTACGCTTTTGCCCTGCGTGTGCCCCCAGCCGAGCGGAGAATGGATGAGCCTGTGCGGGCGGAGCAGGGTGGTCGGAGGGTGCTGGTCTGCCTTGGCTGGGACAGAGTGGTGCATCCAGCCTCACCCTTCGTCCATCCACCAGCCCCATCACCTGCCTGCTTCCTTCCCGTAGTCAAGGAGATCCAGCTGATGCACCGAGCACCAGTCGTGGGCATCCTGGTGCTGGACGGACACAGTGTGCCCCTTCCCGAGCCCCTGGAAGTCGCACACGACCTATCGAAAAGCCCGGACATGCAGGGAAGCCACCAGCTGCTTGTTGTGTCAGAGGAGCAGTTCAAGGTGCCGCACGGTGGGGACGGGGTTCCGGGGATCCTGGGGACATCCAGGGGGCTCATGCCTCGGGCACAGATGACAGTGGCTGGGACTCTGAAAGTTGTGTATGCAGTTGGCATATGCAGTAGGGGCTGCAGGGGCACCGGAAAGGAGAGGGGTCTGTGTGGCGTCCCCGGGCCCAGGTCAGCGGTGGGGACACCGAAGCAGGACCTGTCTGTGGGAGGAAGTGGCCCAGCACCTCATGGTCCAGGTGCAGTGAGCGCCTGTCCTGGCGCCGAGGGCGTGCCGAGACCGAGCCGGCTTCGCTGGGAAGTTGGGTGCACCCGGTGGACGCAGGGAAGTGGTAAGTGGGGTCTGGCCATGGGTGTGACCGCCGCCCTGTGCCCCAGGTGTTCACACTGCCCAAGGTGAGTGCCAAGCTGAAGCTAAAGCTGACTGCCCTGGAGGGCTCGAGGGTGCGGCGGGTCAGCGTGGCCCACTTCAGCAGCTGTCGCGCCGAGGACTACGGGGAGCACCACCTGGCTGTCCTCACCAACCTGGGCGACATCCAGGTGGTTTCGCTGCCCCTGCTCAAGCCCCAGGTGCGTTACGGCTGCATCCGCCGGGAGGACGTCAGCGGCATCGCCTCCTGCGTCTTCACCAAACACGGCCAAGGTGTGCAGGTGGTGGTTCGGCTCGCCTCTGTGAGCGGGCGGGGTGTGGGGCTCCCGTGTGCTGCAGGGGCTGCTGGGAAGGGCAGCCAGGGGGGTGTGGCCAAGGCCAGGCTCTTTGAGAACTTTGGGGGGAGCTCTGGCCCCAATGGCCCTGGTTGGAAGCCCCATTGTCAGCAGCCGCAGGTCCTGAGAGACCAGGCTGGCCTCACCTCGTCTCCACCCCCCAGGTTTCTACCTGATCTCGCCCTCGGAGTTTGAGCGCTTCTCTCTGTCCACCAAGTGGCTGGTGGAGCCCCGGTGTCTGGTGGATTCTGCAGAAACCAAGAGCCACAGTCGTCCCCGCAATGGATCAGGCCCCGAGAAGGCCTTGGGCCGAGCCAGGTGGGTAAAGGGCAGGTGGCCTTTGCCCCAGCCCCTCCCCTTACCCTCCTGATGCGCCCACTGGGAGCTGCCACATTCTCCCTCCCCTGTGAGCTCAGCCCACCCTCCTGGCTCTGGCTCTTTGCCCCCCTTCATATGCCCCTTCCTCCCATGTGAGCTGCCACCAGGCAGGGGCTTGGCTTCCCTCCCAGGCGCCCCCTGCTCAGGGCAGGCCAGGTGAGCTGACCTCATCGGACCAGAGCGGAGAGCCCAGTGCCCCCCAATCTTTACTCTCTCTTCCCCCCACAGGAACTCAGGGAGCCAGAGTGATGGAGAGGGTAAGACAGGCCAGGGGAGTGTGTGAGCACACCTGGGCCAGCTCAGGCCCAGACATTGGGGGATGGAAGGAGGAGAGGGAACCCCAGGGGAACAGGTATGTGTGTGTGTGCGCACGTGCATGCGTGTTCAAGCTGGGGGTAGAAACAGCCACCCCGCCAGCCCTGGGCTCGGGGCTCTCCTAACCTGGCCTCTGCCTTCCAGAGAAGAGGCCGGGCCCCGTGATGGAGCATGCTCTGCTCAATGATGAGAGTGAGTTGGGCGGGAGTTGGGGGCTGACAGGAGGGATGTTCCTTGGCGGGGAGTTTGGAAGGCCAGGGTGGAACTGAGGGTGGCAGACCCACCCAGCACCCCATCAGTGAGAGGCACAGAAAGGCCCCGCCATGGCCTCACCAGCCTCCCTTCCCCAGGGGTCCTGAAGGAGATCCAGAGCACACTGGAGGGAGACCGGGGGTGAGTCGCTGCCGCTTGCAGGGTGGGCCCCCGGTGCCAGGAGAGCACCGGGCATGAGTGTCCTTGTCTGCCACCCCAAGTCCCCATGGAGGGTGACTGCCCTATCTTTGCCCATGCAGGAGCTATGGCGACTGGCGTTCCCAGCAAGTGGCCATGAGGTACAGCCTCAGCAGTGGGGGAGGTAGGGGCCCTGAGACCGGCTGCACGTGGGGAGGGGGCGGCTGGGAGGGCATGCTCCTGGAGGGATGGGAGGAAGAGCCCCATCCCCAAGATCCTACAGGCCAGGGTCCATCCCAGCCCTGACACATGCCCCACTCGTTCTGGCAAATCCCAAGTCTGGGCTCAGGTACATGACGGAGGCCCCGTCCTGCCCAGGATGCACCCGAGTTTCCGTCACTCTCTCTCCTTCCGCAGCCAAGTGAGCAGGCCGGGCGTCCAGGCTGTGCGGTGAACACACTACTGAGGGCTGTTCCTCCGGGCACTGGCCGCCTGGAGAGGCCACGCACCGGGCCGGGCCACAGGCTGGGGCTCCCTCGGCTTCCCTCTGCTGCTGCTCCTGGCCTCGGGAGAGGAGGGACCCCGGCCCCGGGGCTGTCCCTCCCCGGGCCTTGTCTGTCTCGGTCCTTTTGTCAATGTTGCACAGTTTTTATCATCCCCCCCCTGCTTTTTGTAGTGGGTTGGGTTTTAAATTATAAATTTTAACTGCCTCTGGGTGAAAAAGTTTTTAATAAACACCTTATTACCTCTTCACTGGTCCAACAACTTTAATTTTTCAATTATGCAGAAGTTTCCCATATACAACCATTAGCTGGCTCCCCGCCTCTGGCCCTGGGTTCGCCCTGGGACCAGGCTGGTGCTCAGGAGGCTGTTTCCTTGGCATTTGAAGCAGCTAACGGTCCCTGGGTGTCCGGTCATTGCTGGGCCTCTGTCTTTGGGAATAAATGGCGGGAGTTAACCAGCTGGAGTCTGACCGCATCCCTGGGTCAGGGCAGAGGGAGTCCCCTTCCTGTCGGAGGGGAAGACACCCAGCCTGGCCAGTGTGGCTCAGTGGTTGAGCGTTGACCTATGAACCAGGAGGGTCACAGTTTGATTCCCGGTCAGGGCACATGCCCAGGTTTCGGCTTCGATCCCCAGTGTGGGGCGTGCAGAAGGCAGCCGATCAATGATTCCTTCTCATCATTGATGTTTCTATCTCTCTCTCCCTCTCCTTTCCTCTCTGAAGTCAATAAATATATATTTAAAAAACAAATAATAAATACAAAATCCGGTTAGCTAAACCAACTCACACAAATGAACAAGTGACATGAAGTTTCCTTCCAAGGACCCAAGAATTGAAGATAATGGTAACACTGCAAGTGCCAGTAACAGGAGAAACGACACAGCCAGCACTTCCGTGGCTCAGGAAGCTTCGTGGCAGCAGCAAGGATCTGGCTAATCAGGCTGAACAAGATGTTCACACACACACACTCACACACACACACACTCCTGGAAAGGTCACGAAGACTGACAATGGATTTATATCTGCACTCGCTAAGGACGGGCTTTGTCTTAAGTACACTGCGCTTTGAAATATTAGCTAATGTCAGCTAATATTTCAGTTGGCATGTTTCATTTCTAAGAAAACATTCTCATATTGAGAGTGAGATCAACGATTGTTACTGATAGCTGCTCACAAGTGGAAGGGCTGGCATTCTCTGGAACGCGTGTTAATGGAAGCTGGGCTGGCGCGCAGAGAGGAGTTCAGGGTCTTCCCGCGGCAGTCCGGGAGAGGTGACCATGGGGGCAGAATGGAGATATCTGAGAGGTTGAATTGACGGGCAGCCACCCTGAAGGCGAATGAGTGGGGAGGAGGCGGTCACTGCCGACTCCAGGGCCGGGGAGATGGACCAGAGCAGCTGGACACCTGGTCTAGAGGCCTGGATCTTAGAAGCCAGGCAGACCCAACCACTGAACACTGGCTTTGCCAGTGATGGCTGTGTGGCCTTGGGTAAAGGACCTCACTCCTGGGCCTTAGTTTACTTCTCTGTAAAATGGGGCCGAATAATAGGGCCTGCCTCAGGGCTGTAAGGTTTAAAGGAAGAGCCTGTAACATCATTGCACAGCACCTGGCTCCTAGGAAACAACCAAAGGAGTGAAAGTCATGACGGAGGGTGGGTGAGGCCGAGAGGAGGAGATGGTTCCTGGAAGGAGGGAGTGTGGGGTCGGGAGAGGGCTGGGCACAGGGTGCAGGCGCTCACAGTACTTGTGGACAAAGCAGGTGAGGGGGTGAAAGAGAAGAGGAGGAAGAGAGGAGAGAGAACTGCCCGAGGGGGTGGGGCCCCCCTTTCCCGGGTGTCCAGTTGACCAGCTGAAGGTGTACATTTATGCTCTGGTTTCTTTCCGTTTCATTTCACAATCTCAACCACAACAAGCTAACAAAACGCAGGCAGTGCTCGCCGTGTGCCCAGCTCAGCCTGGTCCCCGTCTTCTGGGGAATCCAGGGGCTAAGGGAGGCGAGTGGGTGGCCCCTAGAGCCCAAGGACTGAGAGGGGGGCTCAGGCAGGTCCTTTCTGCACCCCTCACCCCTGGCCCCGCAGCAGTGAGGCCGCGGCAGCGCGGTGTGGCCCGGTGCCAGGCCGGCCTAGCTGGCAGCGACTCCCCGGGGAACAGTTGCCCTGTCCTCAGCCTTTGTCCGCAGCTGCAGCGTCTCCTCTTTCCTGCGAGGCCTCTGCTTCATTGTTATTCGGGGGTCAGGACCCACAGCCACTTGCATTATTGATGCTCATGCCTAAGGCGGGAGGGGGTTGGGGGTTGGGGGGTGAGGCTGTAGACCCCGCCAGAGCAGAGGGCCGAGGGAGTCCCGGGCAGCCAGATCCAAGGGGAGAAGAGAAGCCACCGGGAAGCCCCTCTCCACCGGGCGCCATGGGCG